AATGCGTTACTGAAGTGTTAGAAGCTATCGAACCCGAAATTTTACATCCGACAGAACGGTAAGTATACGCAGTACAAAGCATTGTAGCTGAGAATATTTGTTATTACAAAGTATATGTCATTCACAAATAGTACTTGATTATTTCTGACAATACAGATAATAAGTACAATTGCAGTAATGCAAAGAAATTACTTTTTACTGTTGAGAAGTTCATATTTGTGTTGCTAATACATAGATTCAAGGACGAAATATTAAGTAAATAGTTTAACATTTTTTATATTGTATATAACTAATCGATAACTGCTACTTGTTTCAGGAATAATGCTGTTTCTCCCATAAACCAGCTCCTCTTGACGTTGAGATTCTACGCTACTGGCAGCCACTTAATATCAGCAGGTGATTTTTCTGGAGTCAGTAAAACAAGTGCTCACAGAATTATCCATCGCGTAACAAATGCTATTGCTCGTCTTCGGGCAAGGTTTATAAAATTTCCTACTCTTGCTGATGAAATAAAAGCTGAGCAAATAAAGTTCTTTGACATTGCACGATTTNCAAGAGTTGTGGGATGCATCGATTGCACTCATGTGAAAATCCAGTCATTTGGTAATTAACGTTTGTATATCATTGATATTTAAAAGTAAACTGCATATTAACTTTATAGCTGTTATAGAAGTGTAATAATCAGTGTAATTTGATATTTGATGCTTTCGCGGTGTGTAGTATTAACATACAAAGATGTTTTTTCGGGTTTGAACCGCGTTAATGTCATTTTTATACCGACGTTTCGTGAACATTACAGCTCACTTCATCAGGGTTTGAAGAGCAGCCTGATACTGAGATGCTCTTGGTGTAATTATTTTCAGTGTAATTCAATCAGTGTAATTATTTTCAGGTGGAAATGATGCAGAATATTTCAGAAATCAAAAAGGTTACTTTTCAATTAATGTCCAAGCAATTTGTAACTCCAACTTAGAAATAACGGACCTTGTAGCTCGTTGGCAAGGATCAGTGCACGACACCACTATTTTTAATAATTCTAGGATACGTGCTCTGTTTGAGGCTAGAACATTTGGAGATGCATTACTCTTAGGTGATGGTGGTTATCCTGTTCGGTCCTATTTTATGACGCCCCTGGGCAATACGCAAACTCGTGCACAGGAACTCTATAACGAGTCGCAAATAAGAACACGCAATACCATTGAACGCGTGTTTGGAATATGGAAGAGACGGTTTCCAATTTTGGCATTGGGTTCTCGATTTTCTAAAGTCGAAAGAGTACTACCAGTTATTGTAGCAACTGCCATATTACATAACATTGCTCGGCGTGCTGGAGATCCATTACCACCAGATGATCCTGCAGTACAATTACTTATGCCGTGGGAAGAAATTTTGAAACAAGGAAATGTACCGCTTATAAATAATGCACCGGGTAATGAGCATATGCGGAACATATTAATCAACGATTAATTCCGCAGGTAAGAATAAACATTAAATATATGTGTATGCATATATATATATTTAAGCACATTCTCTGCACAACATCCTGCAAACCGGCTCAAACAACCCGAATTTAATTCATTCATTAGTTTAAAGAATAAACATGTCTGAGACAAATTATTTATGTATTTTTCTTAT